CTGCCACTTATGGGAACGTTTTCTTGTCTTTTTTGAGTAAACCACTTAATAAGTCCCTTGTCAACCTTTTCATGTGCAGATAATTTTAACTTCCTATATCTAACATTTGTTTTGTCATACGCTGATAAAATGTTTTCTCTGTTTGTCCATATTGTTGCAACAGTAGACTTTCCAAGTGCTAATTCCTTACACATGTCACTCTTCTTTATTCCACTTTTTATTTTGTTAATAATCTCGTATTTTTTATTTAGTGAAAAAGCTTTGCGTTTTCGTTTTTCCATTGTAAAACGATTTACATACATAACGCGGCAAAAAAACAACAAGTCACTGTCTGCCTCTCGCTCTCACTAATATAAACAAACAACTCCGCACGATTGGTGTTGCTGAGCGTGGAAGTTCGTTATAAACGGAAAGTGAATACACAACTAACCTAAAAAGTGATCGTCATATCCGGAAGTTCGTTATAACCAGTAAAAAAATACGATGGTCTTTATGGACGACGTTTCAATTAAAGGAAAAAAAGTTTGTTTTAACCGAAAGTTCACTATAACCGGGTTCATTATAAGCGGACTTTACTGTAGTTGAAAATCGAATTTCGACTTGCTATTAAGCATTATTTTGAAATTGTTCCATGTTTAATTGGTAGCATATTGGAATCCTTAAGCATTCAAAAAGAAAACTTACAAAAATTTTCGATATTGAAAAAATTCTGTTCTACTATTTTTTGATGAAAAGGCACAGCGGCAATGAAAAAGCCCTTGTCAATAATAACAATAATTTGTCAAACTGTGACTTACTTTGAATTTCCTTTCACGAATTTGCGGATATGCGATTAGTTCAGGGGAAATGCTACAGTAACAAAGCAAAAGCTGAAAGAGCTTCAACAAAGGGCGAGGAGAGTAGTTATAGGAAGATAGTGGACGATAGATATTGCTGACACTTTCCCAAGCACCAAATAAATACCGAGGAAGGGCTACATTCCTACCACGTTTGTACGATACACACAGCACAGGGAGATACAAATGGAGCAGGAGTTAATCAACTGAATTCGAGAAGCTGCTTGATAAAAGTGGATAATGAGATTACACAGGCACTAGCTTGTTTGTAGTTAACCGTTCAAATGTTTGGTGTTGTATGGAGTTTTTGTAAACACCAAACCCCGCAGAATTCGAGGTTATAAGAACAGGTTGACATTTTGAAACTACGTTGCGCAGTCAACAAATACGAAGCAACAGGTATTTGCGCAATGTTAATTAGGGAGATTACTTTGAAAAACATTGCTGGCGTATTTCTGATATAGTTTTTTGCAAATTTTTCAGTTTTTAATAACAATTAATGTCTTTTACTATTTTTTCTGTACTCCTATAACAGTGCCAGACAACACCTCCCGAAGAATGACGCCAATTTTGAATCACCCTGTATTACAAGCATTTGCGAAGTTTATAATGCAGGGCATAGTTTTCTTGATTCTGTTTGACTGGAAGGAAAAATGTAAACAAAAAGCACAAATAGCCGCCTCTATTGTTAGTATCTATAAACAGAACAAGCCAAAACAAAGCATCGGTAAGTGAAATGAGCATAAACAATAGAAAATCTTTAACCATATTATAGTTTGGCTTCTTTATAGCAATGCTTACCTGCAGCTCAATGTCTTCTCGGATTTTCTTATGAGTGTTGTCTAGTTCTTTGTTCCTCTCCTTTTCGCAAATCTCCACATTCGATTTGATATGAGCCTTACTAGCGTTAATCAGTGTTGTAACGCCCAGTTTAACCTAATTGAACAAAAGCGTAATTAATAAATCGCTGTTTGGAGGCGAAGTTTTGATCTTACATCATTAAATTCAGTCACAAGTTGCGATTTCTTGTCATCGCTTAATCTCTTCTGATCGCTATAGTAGTCATCGATTTCTTCAATGTCCTTCAATATGCCATCATATCCCAAAATATCTAACTGTAATTCCTTTAAAAGTGCCTCTTTTCTTCTTCTGTCCGTCTTCAATTTCCCTCTTATGGTATTCAGAGTGTCCCTCACTGTTTTAAAAGTGGTTGTATTCATATCGTCATAATCAGAAAGCTGGAAATACATTAGGCTCAAATTTGGCAATATTCAAATACATAAAATGGGATAAGTTATTTATAAAAATGTGTATGGTCTCGAACTTAAATTAAAATAGCCCTACTTGCAACCTTTTTGAATGATGAAAATTACCTACGCTGAATCCAATTGTTTGCAAAGCGGTCGAGGCGTAAAACAAACACAGGAAAAACACGAATTTTTGTACGTAAATGTATTATTTCAGCTTAGTGGAAATTAAAGACCTTCCTCTAATCACAATAGATTAGATAGATGAAAACAGTTTAAGAGAAACAGTATGAAAATCTGCTTTCGTTTGAAAAATGATGAACGGTCCAACATTATCTTTAAATCACGAACCATATTATGCAATGAATCGTATTATACGTGTGTTACAGCGAATACTACAAAAGACATTTCGATACTTACATGCCGAAGTACACTATCCTGAACGCGTTCGATACTGTGATGCAGTTCGGCATCATTAATCGCAGTTAGTTTGCTTGCCAGTTGCAGGGATTGTTCTTTATAAAGTAGTGAGTGTTTCTGAAAAATCGACTGCAAAGCTTGTCCATGTTCAGACGTATTCAATCTTCTTTCGTAACTTTCGCAATCGTTTTTCGCAGAACTAATATGATAATTCTGCCTGCCTACAAGGGCTAGAGTGTCTTGTAGGAAGTGACCGAATTTATTACAAGCCACTTTGGATTCCCTACAGATGGAACCCGATTTTTCCGCAATCAGTTTTTCATTGGACATGTTATTCAAATACTGAGTCTCAAGTTTCTGATGAAGCACCTCTTGGCATCTAGAGTAATCCTTTGTGATTTCCAATAGTTCCTTGACTTTCGCATCTGTCTCATTAGCGGCGTCTGCATAGCACTTCGATAAGTACTGCTCTTGTTTAATGGAAATGCGATGAACTTTCAAGCAATCCCTGGCCTTTTCGATCAATTTCTCCTTTTGCTTGCATTGGTTCATGATTTCGTCGAACTCTTGCTCTTTGAATTGGCGAATGGCTTCTAAATCTGAAATTTTATTCCGCAAATGATTGATGGTATCAGTGTGGGCGGACACAATTTGAGAATTGGCTTCAAGGCGGTCATTCAATTCCTTCCAATTATCAGGATCGAGGAAAATGCCATGTTCAAGTCTGGTAGCATATAAATCCCTTTTCAGTCTATCAATTTCTGAGGACAGCCCTTTGATCATCTGGGCTTTGGTGACCTTCTCGTTAATCATTGGAGTATTTTTTACGTCTCGTGCCCTACTAGCATATTCCAGAGTATTTAGTGTCTCCTCAAGGGACGCGTACGAAGGAGACACAGTCGCAACAATGCAAGTTTTGGTGTGACCGCCCAAACTGTCCTGGAGGATTCTTGTAAGTTTCGAATCTCTATAAGGAATATGCTTGCTGTTCTTTTCGGAAAGAATTTGTATGACTCTGCCCAGCGTTAGCAACGACTTGTTAATGTTCGCCGACTCTTGGGCCCGCTTATCTTTTGCCCCCGACTTGGCAATGTTTTCACTTCCAGCCAAATCCACAAGATTCAACTTGCCAGTTTTTAAAACCTCTTCACCATTGGACAGGATTTCCCTAGTGTGAACAGTGATGGTGAACACCACATGTGAACGCGAACTATGATTGTTCATCAACGTCGCCGCTGTTTGCCTTTTAAACATTCCTTCTTTGAGCAGATTGAAAATTTCTGAACTGTTTACCACTGATACTGATCGCAGATTCTGGATGCACACAGCTCCTTTGGTATCGTTGAAGATGCTAAAAAATCAAAACCGGCGGTTTGTAGTGAAATACGAGTTAATTCCGATTGGGTTGAATGCGTTTAGTTGTACCAATAGCTAGGCTTCTATCGTTACTTCATCCCAATTTTAGTGAAGAGAATTAATAAAATTGAAAATAGATAATTTCTATACTGTTGAGGCGGATTCATTTTTTTACAAACTTCTTGTTGGGTATTTCGCCTCAAAAATGTTTGTCTTTAAAAAAGACAGAATTTCCTCACGTCTTTTATTACAGATTGATAAATAGTGCTCCTATTTCGCAATAAGAACGAATTATTTATCAAAAAGTAATCAAGAACTATCACCTAGAGAATATCCTGCGGCACACTTAGGCTCAAGCTGTAAGAGAAAATTCCAATTAGTAAAGAAATTAATTTGAAAAATTACCTTGACGTTTCGATAGCTATTTTCTGCTATCGTTATCAAAAGAACCTAAATGAACCTAAAAAAGAGTATGTTAATAAATTGTGTAATAATAGTAGGATAATACAGTATATGAAAATTCGCTCTGATAAATTGCAATATATTATTTTATTTAATAAAAATACATAATCTTTCAATTTGCACAGACGAATTATCAGAGCGAATTTTCATATACTATATTATCCTACTATTGTTACACAATTTATTAACATACTCTTTTTTAGGTTCATTTAGGTTCTTTTGATAACGATAGCAGAAAATAGCT